ACTGGTGCCTGCAGGCTGGCTGGGTGTCTCGTGGTGGGTTTTTTCCCTCCCAAGAAAAGCAAGATTCTTCAGTGGTTTGATGCTATGAGTAGTGTTACCCCAAAGAAAAAGGCAGGGGTGGTTTCCAGCAAACCGCAAGCTGCTGGGAACCCACCACAGGACACTGTAGGTGAGCAGAAGCAGCAACATCTGTATGCAGAGCCGAAGTTCCAGTGCTAGTTTTCATCTGGGCAGTAACAAGCACTTCATTCTCTTTTCTTTCCTCCCTCAGTGAATTCCCGTCTTAATAATTTTCTTTTTTTTTTTTTTTTTCCCTTGATTTCTTTGCACTCTGGGGTTTTTGTCACATTTCTGGGCGACAGACATCGAAGATCCCTATGACTGCAAGAAGTGCCGGATGAGTTTTGCCACCCTGCAGGAGCACCGCAAGCACATCCACGAAGCCCACTCCCGGGAGTACCACCCCTGCCCCACCTGCGCTAAAGTCTTCAGTGCCCCATCACTCCTCGAGCGCCACATGGTGACCCACGTCGGGGGAAAGCCCTTTAGCTGTGAGATCTGTGACAAGGCTTACCAGGTGAGCTGGTCCAGCAAGGAAATTTGGTCTCGTGTGCCAGAAGCTGCTGTGGCCTGCTCCTGCACCAGGATGTCTCTCCTGGCCATGCGCACTGAGTGCAGCAGGTTTTGGTCAGCAAAAATTGGAGGTTAGGGAAAAATTGCACAGAGGAGGTAGAGTCCATAGGGAAAAGGCAGGTCCACAGAGATAGGCCGTGACTGCAAAGGCCTACATACTTTGGACCCTCACGAATCTTGTCCACCTAAGCTTCTAGCTTCCAAGAAGTGTAGGAATAAATACAGTCATGTTGCAAATGGCGTGCCTCACGGGGAGTGTGTGCAGGAGCGCATTCCTACAGCGGAACAAAAATTCAGAACAAAAGGAGACTTGCCGTGGGTGAGATGAGGATGAGGGATTCAGCAATGTTCAGCTCTTCGGGGGCAGTGGAGAAACACAAGTGAGGTGTTAGCTCTTGTCCTGGGGGAGGATGAACAGGTCTTGTACCTGCTGAGCACAACCCCGCTGTTACTGTTGCTTTCCAAGCAGTTTCTTGCTGTCATGATGCCCCTGGAACAGCTTTGGATTGTAACCATGATTTGATCCTTATCATTGCAGCAGTTGTCAGGGTTATGGTATCACAACCGGACCCACCACCCCGATGTCTTTGCAGCTCAGAATCATCGCTCCTCCAAGTTCTCCTCCCTGCAGTGCAGCTCCTGTGACAAAACCTTCTCCAGCACTGCAGCTCACCGAAAGCACGTCAAGGCAGAGCACGCAGGTAACAGCCCCCTTGTTAGTGAACAAAACCACGTGGCGCTGCTGGGACAGATGTAGTAATGACTCTGATGGACAAGGCTGCACATCCCTTTTACCTGCACATCGCAGCAGACTCTTTGTATCCTGTAGTAGTCTCTTCTGGCAAGTCTCATCTCAGCATCTTGCAGCTCACTTGCTCTTGGCCTCTCCTTTTCCTGCCTTACCTCCAAAGATGCTCCTCATATCTGGGTGCATGTGGTGTTGCTGAAGTATTAACAGAGCTCTGGTCCAGAAGGTCTCTTGTAGAAGACCTTGGGTGCATGCTTTTCTGTTCTTGTCCTTGTTTGCAGACGTGAAGTTCCATGAGTGTGAGACGTGCAAGGAGCTCTTCCCCACGCCGGCTCTCCTGCAGGTCCACGTGAAGTGCAGGCACTCAGGTCTGTTACATTTGCTGTTGCTCATGTTACCTGGTGAGCAATGACTGCTCCTATCAGTAAGTGATGTCTAAGCTGTAAGCAGGGGAGTGAAGAAGGACATGGTAAGGAAGCAGAGTGTGAGGAAACAGAAAATATGGATGAACTGGAAAAGCACTGGTTTTGGCGAGGCTGGGACATGTTTGTTAAGCTTCTGGAGCCACGGTAGTCAAGGAGGGATCTGGATTTGCTTGTTTACAGCAGAGAAGAGAGCCAAGTGCAGGTGAGGTGACATAGCATAGAGAAACAAGGAACTGAACCCCAAGCATTGGGGTTTGTGGAGGACAGAGCTAGTGGGAGACTGGAGAAAAAGGGAGTTTAGCACCAGAAAGATAAGAGAGCGACCTGGGCTTGGGGAGACCATATCAAGGGCCCTATGGCAAGTGGGCAAGCTGAAGCAGTGCTGTGGGGGCAGAGTGCACTGGCAGACCAGACTGCTATCAAAGGTGGATCCACAGGGCTGTGCACGGGATAGCAGGAGAGGAGATGGATGAGGAGACATTGGAGGGGGCAGCCAACAGCAGCCTGGAGAGTGAGGAAGGAGAAGACCTAGACATAGCTCTGTCTGAGAGGAGAGAGCCCCTGGGGTGGATAGTGGGTTTGCAATAGCTGAATCGATAGCTGGAGCAAGCCAGGCCAAAAAGGAGCAGGGCTGGATGGTGTAAGGGACCAGGGAGAAGAGATGTCTGTGAGAAGGGACAGCTGCAGCTACAATCAGGTGCACCAGCCTGGTTCCTGAATGCCAGTGCTGCAGGGAGCTGGAGCTGAAACCGGGCTGAACAGCTGCAAACAGTTTGACAGACAGTGGTGTGGCCAGGAGGAGGGACGCTGGCACACGCTGTGCCCCGAGTCCCTGGCGGGTTTCAGCCCTGCGCATCTTGGCCATTTGCAGCTTTCTGTGCTCTTGGGCTGGCCCTGGCCGTTGCAGCCCAGGCTCAGGGTGGTGCTTCTCCCTGCAGGCTCCCAGCCATTTCACTGCTTGTACTGCTCAGCATCCTTTCGCTTCCCAGGGGCCCTGCAGAACCATGTCACCAGCGAACACTTCAAGCAGACAGAGAGCACCTTCACCTGTGAGCTCTGTGGGGAGCTCTTCCCCTCCCAGGACAAGCTGGAGGGGCACTACAGCGCTGAGCATCCCAAAGAGGTCTTCTCCCAAGCCACCACAGCCCAGATTGTGCAGGTAAAGACTGCTTTGTGCCGCAGCCCCCACGGTTGTTCATCCATCCTCCCCTTCCAACCTTCTTGTTCTTCCCAAATCCACCCTGCAGCTCCTGCCACCCCTTCTGCTCCCTAATTCTCCCTCTCAGAGGGGTCCAGGATGCAAGCCCCCCAGCCCACAGTGCTCTGGGACTTCTGTGTTAGTATGAGGTAGGTTCTGCTTGCTGGAGAGGGAAGCAGCTCAGTCCTGGTCTTCAGGAGCCGAGGAGGAGGGACTGACAATGTGTGCAGAGGTGCCTGGTTAGTCAGAGGCTATTAAAACCCAGATGATATACCCCATGAGATTATAGCTGTTTTGTTGGAAGCCAAATGCTAGACTTGAACCCAGACTCTTTCTCTTCAGTATCTCAGCCATCAGTGGAGAACAGCTCCTTGGATGAGGGAGCCCAGTGTGCAAGATTCCCTGGGGCTGGCATTCCTCCAGTGGATAATCACAGAGTGTTTATTGTCTACGACTGCTTATGGAGCTAAATTATAGCAATTTTGTGGAGACAAATATTTAAATTACTCTCCTGTCTTCTCTTTTGCATCATCGGTGTGTGTGATTTGGTGTTTCCCATTAGTCTCACGCCTATTGTAATTGCAGACCTCTGGCGTGAAGCTAAATGTTATTACCAGAGCTGGGGCTGGGAAAGATGTGGGTAACAAGCTGACTGTGGGGAAACTGGTGCTCTAAGTGTCTGACTCTGAGGTCATCTTCCATGCAGGTGATTCAGACGTTGGAGCACGGAGCAGCAGAGCACATCATCTCTTTTGATGACACCCAACTTGCTGGCTCCCAAGTCTTTGTGACATTGCCTGAATCCCAAGTGAGCCAAACTGGCTCAGAACTGGTGGCAGTGACTATGGAGGACTTGTTTGATGACAAAGTCACTCTGATTTGTGAAGAAACCAAGTGAGAGTGAGGAGTGGGTGCCCATGCATGGCGCCTGGTATCTGCTAGACTCATTCGGGAGCTGTACCTCAACATGCTGCTCCAGCAGAGAGATTCAGGGTTTCTTTGGGAAATGAAACCAACACTGAGTATGCAACGCTGCAAAAGAAATGGCGCGCAGCAAGCACAGCGTGGCCAAGGACAGGAGGTTTGTAGACATTCACAAGGGCTTGGGAAGTCTCCCTGCAGTCAGCAGCTGACAGCTCAGGTGAGCTGGACCACCCATCTCTCCCAGCTCAAGAGAAATAAAGCAGCAGAGGAAAAGGTGGGAATTGAGTGTGTTCATGTGTGTTCCACCACTGCTGTGTACAGAGTGGTGGGGAGGAGACTAGTACCGGATGAAGTTGGAAGGGTACGGGTATGTGAAACCGAAGAAAAAGCTGTTCTGAGAATTTGGGGTAGAGATTTTTATGGCTGAATCGGTGATGTGCTCACAGGTATCTGTTACTCTGCAGGGTGAGTAAGGGCTGCTTTGTTTCTTCTGTTGCTCTCCCCTGTACCATGGTGCACCCTGTTGTGCCAGCTAGAAAAGTCCTCCAGCACAGAGCTGACACCTGGGGCTTTCTGCTCAAGCAGAGACTTCTCGGGAGTTGTGCTAAATGGCTTTGGAGCTGCTTGGGTAATACCTTGGACAGCACGGGTCTGATCCCATCCGTGGTTTTGCTGTGGCCATCGTTACAAAGGGTCACAGGCAGGTCTGGGCATCCCCGTCCTCGTTGTGAGCAAACAGCTCTGAGATCTCTCACTCCTCTAATTCGCCGAGGATACGCTGAAGCTGCCACAACTGAGAAAGAAGGAGGAGCTGCGCCTGCATGGCAGGGCCCCTCGTTGCTGGTGTCAGTGGTTCGGCACTAGTGAAGGTATTTCTGCCTGAGTGTGAGATAGCTGCTGTGACTGCACATAGATGTTCCCCATGACACACAGGGCATTGCTTTGTAAAATGCCTTCAGGTACCTACTGTAAAGTTTGCTTCTCTGGTGCCAGGATGATGCAACGGCTTCATTGCAGCACGCTGGCCCCTTTAAGGCTAAATTTCATAAAGCTTTTTTATCTGCAGTTTCCTAAAATATAATCTGATAATTAATGGTTTGCTGAATCCATTATGAAGTGCAATTAGATAGACGCAGGGTTCCTGTGGCTCTGAGGGGACTGATAGCATTTATCTTGCTTTCCCTCATGCCGAAAGGTTGAACTCTGCCACTGCGATATTTACATACTGAGCGGTGACCCCCACCTCGCCTCACAGCCCCACACCCTGCAGCGAGCAGCGCCCACTTTGTCGTGCTGCCCAGAGCCACAGGAGCTCCGGAGATGAGCAGATTGGAGTTTTCTAGCAGCATCTTGCGGTGCCCGCTCACAGCCACCAACCAGAGATGGTCGCGCAGGAGCGTGCCAGGGTGGTTGTGCCAGTGGGGTAGTTTGTTGATCCTATTCCAACTTGGAGAGAAGAAGTGAACAGCAAGGGGTGCTCCCAGGAGAGGGGCTCGGTGGAGCTAATGTTCTGTGTGGCGTTTTTTGAATGTGTGTGGCAGCAAGCATGTGACCCTGTTGAAGTGTTTGCACGTGTCTTGGAGGGCTCCCACCTTTGTCTTCCTTGGTTGCCTGCGTGGTTTGTGCCCCAGGCTTTGCGGCGGTGGTGAAACGGAGGAAGGTTTAGTTGGTGAGATGAGGTTAAGTTGCCACTGAATCCGGGAATGACCAGGAGATGGTGCTCGAGGTCTTGAGGATTAGTGCTAATGGCCAGGTGCCTCGCCACCTTTGCTGGAGCTCCTCTTAGCCTTCCCAGGCCTTCCCCAGCTCCTGGGCTGGCAGGTGTGGAGAGCCCTTGGAGCCGCTGCAAAGCTGAAGGACAACTCCAAGCCCTGGACAGGACACCTCTAAACCCTGGATATCGCTGCTTAAAGGAGAGCCTGAAACTGGGCTGTGGCTACCTGCGGAGAGGGTAAAGTACATCTGTTACTGAGGGGAGCGGTGAAAAAGTCTGGGACCCTTCTTGGCCAGGACCATCTCATCCCTGGTTGGACACGGAAGAGCTGTGCATGGCGCTTAGGATGAGCACAGGGATAATGACAGAACAAGTGTGTCTTGCTGGTCTCAGAGCAGATGTGTTGGGAGGTAAGCAGTGGATTTTGTCCTGCAGGTTGGTGGAGCTGGAAGCTGTTACCCCTTTTCTGACTCTGTGGGGGCTGGGAGCTGTGGAAGTCCTGCGCAGGCTGCATGTGTGCTCTGGAGCTGGGAATGAATTGTTCAGGCGATGCTTTGCAGATGTCCTAGCCTTCATTTGGGAGCCAACACCTGCAGGGAGCACTAGGTGAAGCTGATCTCCCTTTGCTCCTGAAAACTCTGGAAGAAGAGCAAAGGGTTAGCAGGGTTTGGGGAGAAGTTACCTTATTTATAGCCCTCTCATAAGGCAGAGGGCGCTTAGCTAGGGGAGGGCATGCAAATGATGCATCTTGGCTTTGATCCGTTTGGTCCCTGTTGACCAAGGGTTGTCACAGTTCAAGGGGGACGGTGTAGGTCATGTATCAGGCACAGTTCAGGCGCACGTCTCCTCTTTAGGGCCATCTCTCCTGCTTTTGTGCCCTGCAAGAGCCTGCATGGGTGTATCCTCAGCAGAGTCCTGCCAGCAGTATACACCCACAGAGCTCTGCAGCTGTACATAGGCCATCGAGCACCTCCTGTCATTATGAGGAGATAATAACTCAGATTCCCACTGTTCCAGTTCCTTCTTGATGGATGAAATGTGCATGTCAGAGCAAATTGCAGTGTTGGCAACACCTATGTCCCACCCAGAAGGAAGATGCATTTCTCAGGACACGTTTTGGTCTGGTGTGCGCAACACTGAAGATGCTGATCACTAGTGATTTCTTCTTGTGCTACATATTCTTGTTTCCTCTGTAAAAATAAAGCATAGAGAACAAAAGATGTAGCTACAGATTGTCACTTGAAGCCTCTGATTGCAAGGAAAAATCCTTGTTTCTGAAAAGGTGATTTTTGCAGGTCTTCTCCCAGGTGCTGGGTGACCCATTGGGTTTTGTAGGGTCCTGTGCCTTGACCTTGGTGCCATCCTCTGTAAGGAAGCGGAGGAGCTATTGCCAGGTCAGGCTGGAGCATGGGACCATCCTGCCCTTCGCCGTGTCCTCCTGTTGCAGGTGCCAGATGCTTTTGGAAAAGGGGCAGAGTGCCCCTAACAGAGGCCTGGGGAGTAACATCCCATGGAGGGTGTTAGATCAGTTAATGATTTATGTATCTCCATGCATTCATTGGTGCCATTCAGGGTGCAGGACTGAGCTTGTGACTGTCAGGAAATGTCTGTTTTCTGCATAACTTTTATTCTGACCTGATGTGCGTCTTGTTCGCTGACGGATGCTTTGGAGAAAGGCAGGGTGCCGCTGGCCACAGCAATGGCTGTGAGCAGCCCTCACTTGGCATTTCTCAGTGCAAAGTGTAGTTTTGCAGCCCCAAAGCGTTGTTGTAACACAGTATATGCAAATTCTGTGAGCTGGGCTTTGGTTTTGGTTTGCGTTTTTTGGTTTGGTTTTGTTTTGGTTTGTTTTTTTAAATCCAACTGATCTGTGATTAAGTGCAAAGATGCTGCTGCCTTGTCCAGGAGCGAGGGATGGCAGTGGCGGGAGCATGGAGGGAGCTCATACGTTGCTTGAAGCCTCTCCTGGGAAAAAGGAGGAGGAGAGCAGGTACCAACGGTCTGAAAACCCTCTGTGACTCGTGCAAGCCGTGGCAGCCCTTGTGCCCGGCTGATGCTGATGTCTTGGCAGATTTCATTATCAGCCTGGCAGGCTGCCGGCATGTCCCCAGAAAATTCAGGCACTGGAAAAGGGAAGCGATGTTTTCAACGGCCTCCAGCTCAGCAAGTGCCGTTTCGCAGGGCAGAGATGAGACACTTCAGCAGCCGGAGGGAATTCCCTCTCCCAAATATCAGTGGTTTGCTGCAGACAGTGAGAGCCAAGGTGCTTCCCCGGGAGATGAGCTCAGTAACCTTTTGTAATGGGGAGGAGCAGGCTGGCTAATGGAGGGGGCTCGGCTGCCTCTCCAGCGTTGGTTAATACGTCTAATCCCCCAGCACAGTCAGCTGTAGGGTGTCTCGCTGCACTAAGTTCCCACAATTCCTAATTTCCTGCATTAGAACAGTAATTCGTTTTATTGGGTCTCCAGCCAGCCTTTCGCATGTGATGAGAGCAAAGCAGAAGCTCTCACTTCGCCTTCCCTGTGCCATTGATGATCACTCAAAGCAGGAAATCTGCCCAGGTTTCTAATCGTATTTAAGCAAACCTGATAAAGTGTAGCTCTTCGTCCGTTTCATAAGACACACGTGGATCCTTGTAGCACCTGCTGTCAAGTTGCTATACATAGCTCTCGCTTACAAATGGCAGCGGGGCTGGGAAGCACCCATGGGTCAGACCATGGCACCTGTTTCTGAGACCTGCAAGGAAACAGAAAGTCCTTGCAGGCAGAGCGTGCGGGCGACACAGAGGCTGGAGGAGTGGTGAGGAGCAGTGGGGATCCAAACTGCCTGGCACGCGGGTGCAGTCAAGCTGTGCGCGTCTCGGCGTCGCTAAATGTCAGGCTGCACATCTGGGAAAAGGCGATGCTGGCCACAGGCGAGAGGATGGGACTCTGGTCAGGATGTCTGAAAGCATCCCGAGGTCTTCTGGTTGTAACTGGAGGCACGTGGAGCCGTGAGCAGCATTTGGGGGCTTTAGTAGCTGCTTTTGGCAGGCTGGGAGACTTTTACTGCTGCCCGCTGCTTGGAGCGTTGCTGCAACTAGATGTCATTCCCATACAGCTGCTCACCCAGAGCAGTATGTGACAAGGAAATGACAAACTGAAGGCTGTGTGGGAAACAACTACCAGCACAACTGAAGAGCTGGAAAATCTGCCTTACTACGTGAGAGCGAAGAAGCTCTAATTGCTCAGCGTGGCTAAGGAGTGCCCTGGTGGCAGCCT